TTCTGATGCATCAGGCCACATGATACTCTGGTACCCTCACTCCTGAGAGAGCCAAGGAGAGGCACACTAAGAAAGATGGCCTTGAAAAGGCCACCAACATCCTCCCCCGAAAAGGTTGCTGTAAAGACGTGAGGGGGATGTGGTGTTTCATGTTAATTATGTACAGACTGTATAAGCAATGACTCACTGGGTCCATATGTAAAGACTTTTCAAGGGGTAATTTTTACAGTTGTCCCTTTAATGTTGACATTTCTATAGGGAATAAGGAAACACAAGGGGACAACTTGTGTTGTCTGGGCAACTGCACTGGGGTTTTACAAGATGGAGTTAGGGGTATTCTCTCTGGTCCTGGTCTGGCTTTGCGACCTTGAATACCAAGACAGGAAAATAGCAATGATCCCACACAAAGAGGTGCCACCAAAGGGGTTGGCCTCCTGAGGAGTCCTCCTCCATGCTGCAGCAGAGTTATCTTCCTCTTAAGGACCTTCCCTAGCTCCCTATTTCCCATATGATGAAGTCTGAATTCCATGGCAAACCTTTCAAGACCCTTCACCATCTTGGCCCCTAACTATATTTGCAGCTTCCTTCTTGGGCACGTTCTTTTCCCTCCCCACCCCAGATCATGTATCCTGTGCCAAGATGCTCTACCCTTTGTTCTCTTGTTGATCATGAGCCGTACTCTTTATTCTCCACCTGGAAAATATCCTGGCTCATTTTTTAAAGCCAAGCTCCAATGTCACTGTGGGTCCTCCTCATACAGACAGAATTAATCACCCTCTCCTCGGTGCCTCCAAACACATCTTTTATCCCTCTGGCCAACTCTTCTGCCAGTGAGGTACAGATTTGTTCTTCACCTAAGCTCCCCAGGGGAAGGCAACATGAATAATTCATCTCAAATTATCCAGAGCTTGTGATGGTGTCTGATGGAATAAATGGAGTAGCCCTAGACCAGATCCTGGGGTTGGAGGATTCCTCTTCAGCCTCAAGCCTTGCTTCTCTGAAACCCATCTTTCTTCCACCCACAAAGGGATCTACTGCTTGTAAGTCCTGTTCGCTTTGCCCCTGACCAAAAATAGCTTACACTGTTGCAGGATTTCGCTGCCTTTAGTGTCCATGGTTCATGGTCACGCCACTTGGAAGAATGAAGAGGTAGACAAGACGAAGAGTGGTGGGCAGCAAAGCAAAGTTTATTGAGCAAGAGTACAAAGCTCCCAGGGACAGAGGGGACCCAAGAGGGTTGCCTTTGGAGTTTCTAAGTTGAGGAGGTTTTATGAACTCTTTTGCGGAACTATCTTAAGCAATTAGGGTGTACTGAGTTGGGCCAATCAGGGCTTTGGTCACGTATCTGTCCACCTATTAGGCTAATGTGCACATGCTGATGGTCTTTGTTTGCTGACATCTGAGAGCTTATGTCTTAACTGCCCCTTGGCCGTGATAGTGACAAATGCTTTGTGGTTAATAGTCTTATTTTAGGACATTTTGCAGAAGTCATTTCTGCAAAGGCTGCAAAGCAGAATGCTAGTGCGGTCCTGTCTAAGCTGCAAAACAGGATGTTAGTGCTGTTTTATCTTAGTGTCCTGACTCCATATTTTCTTGTTGAGGACCCTGACCCTGACTACCTCACTGTCCAACTAACTCCTAATAGCACGTCTCCTTTTTATTCTATTCAATAGATTGTATTTGTATCGGTGTATGTCTTTTCCATGAGCTTTTGCATTTTAACAATGATCAAAGCCTACAACCAAAACTTAATGTGGCATCTACAGATGGGTGGGGGGGGGGGTCCACAAATTCCCTGAAAATGTTTGCCAAATTGTCTACCCATCTTTCAAGGGGAGGGGCCTGTAACTTTCATCATATTCTTTGAGTAGACCAGAACCCCCCAAACAGTTGAAATCTGTAGAGCTAAAGGAATGAAGCTTTAGAGAAGAACTTTAAGGGGAAGCATGGCATGGAGCAGGCCTTTAGCACGTCCCCAGAACCATATCACACACCTGGCACCCGCTTTGTTGCAGAATAAAGACTCTGGTTTTCTCAAGAGAGGCTTAATCTGTCCTGAGAACAAGAGCAGCCTGAGGTCGGGAGAAGGTGCACCTTTGTGCATTTTCTCCTGCCTGGAGATGTGCACCTTCTTCCACCTAAGGTCAAGCAGAGAAAGTCCCCTGTCCCCTCAGCGGTCCCCAGCAGCATCTCTCCAGCCATCCTCTGTCCACTGACATGCTCAACTCTTTCCACATGACAGCTCCTCAGATATTCAAAGACCGTCCCCTAACCTTCATGCGACTGCTCCCTTTTCTAGGTTCGCTTCCACGTTTCTTTAAGACGTGGTTTCCATCAGCCTGGACATTCTACTTGAGGTTTTTTCTTAAAATATAGCAACCCAGACATGGCCCGGCTGTTGTCCTATGGGCTACACTTCCGTCCATGCAGCCCAAGATGGCCTCTGAGCTCACAGTACGTTGCATGGAGCCCAGTGTCTCCCGGAGTCCCCGGACCTACTTCCTACATCTTTGTAATAATTCCATTTGCTTTCCAGTTTCAGAAACTCAATAACAACTTCTCCATCAATTGTATTTTTTTAATATAAATGCATTTTAGGTGTTTTGGAGGTGAATGCCCACTTTTCCATTCTTCCAAGAGGAACAGGTTTCACCCAAGGGACATGGCATTGGACTGAGAGTTCTAAGTGGGCAGACAAAGGCACAGCCCCGAGTGATTCTCTGCACCATCTCATGGCACACTGCATATGCGGCTTGTATGTTTAGTGGCTCCTGGCCAGTAGGCTCTGCCTTCCCAGCCAGCTTGTAAAACGGATTATAAATTCCTTGAGGGCCAAGAGCCTCTATCTTAACCTATTTGTATCCCTGGTGTTTATCCCAGTATTAAATGCCCACATAGCATCCATCCCACTGTCTTATTATTTCTACTCCCTTAGTGTCACTTGAGTCCCTCACCCTCCGCTGCCACCGTCCTAGTTCTAACCACTTTCATCTCTCCCCTAGACCTGCCGTAGCCCTCTGACTGGCCTGCTTTGGCTCAGTAGCCGTGCAGCTTTAAAAACTCCAATTAGATACTCCAACTCCCCTTAAAACTGCATTAATTAAAAGAATTACCCAGAGTAGTCCTGTGCCTCAAGCACAAGCATGAGAAGAAAGCACTAAATCATGACCTGTGGAAAGGCCTAGCGAAGACGAGAGCCTTTGGGACCAGAGTCACCTCCGAGAAGCCTTTCCAGATCGTCCCAGGTGGAAGTGACCTCTGCCCGCTTTGTGACCCAGATTGCTCTGAAGAGACACTTAAGGGGAAACCTGCATACATTTTTGATTTTTTAACATGATTCTCTCCCTGTTGGATTAGAAGCCCCTGGTGGACAGGCCCAGGTGTTGTCTTTGGGCAAAGCCTGAGGGACTGCCTGAGCAGAGTAGGCCATCAATCAGGGCCTCTGGACTGACCGACCAAAGAAATGAATGATTTGTGTAAAAGGAATGTTCTCCATTCCAATGGAGCTTGCCGAGGAGACTATACTGAGTGCCATTCTCCTCCTCAATTGGTGCTGAGATGCTAAAGCTGTGAGAGGAGCTTCACCCTGGAGGGTCCCAGGACGCAGACCGCGCGGGGTCTAACTGAAGACTCTTCTCTGCCCGTGAGCGGTGGGACTTGCTGAACGAATGATGTGCAGACTGTGACTCAGCCCTTCCGGGACGGAGAGCCACCTTCCAACACATGGCCACCTGACCTTCCTCCTCACTGACCTACTCAGTGAAAGCCTTCACCGAGTTTGTTTCCTTCCCTGACCAACACACACACACACTCAGCTTTCTTTATTTGTAAGCTCTTTGGACTTTGTTCTCTCCTTTGACCCCACAACCAGCTGGTGAACCTCAGGCTCTGGGGGACCTCCTCTGTGTCCACTCCTCAGTACAGAATGCTTCACTGACCCCACGCTCTATCATAGGACAGCCAGGAAAAGGGGCCCCCGACACCTGCCCACTTTGGAGGGTTCTTAGACTTTCCTGCAATTACATTATAAAACCCTAGAGGTCATTGAAGGAAAATAGCACTCAATACAACCAAATTCCAAAGTACTATAGCAATAGCAGTCCTAGTATACTATTAATGCTCTCGCAATGATGATCGTATAGTAATAGTGATGGTAATGGTAATCCTAAATGAAAACAGTACTGAAGAGGCAAGTTAGTACTAAATTTTGTGGTGACAATATTTTTCAAGCCTTAATCAGATTTTTTCTCTTGTTCCTGTGTACTTTCTACTTCGCACACAATACCTTTCTGTAAGTCATATGCCTATTCAATGGAAATTTTGAAAACAAAGATTTATTTTTACTTGTTGGTAAAGCAAGAACATAACAAGGATTTTATAGTTTTACCTTTGAGATCATAAAAAGGACACAAAACTATTTTGACACATTGTATGAATATTTTATTTTAATATCAGTGTTATCAGTCAAGACTCTTGGTTGCAAGTGGCAGAAACCTGACTTGAACCAGCTTATGTAAACACAGGAACTGTTTCACTCAGGAAGGATTGAGGAACCAAACCCTCAAAGGGACAGGAGGGGCATAGCTTGGCCTCAGGGAGAGCTGGAAGCAGGGACTGGAGGCCGCTGCATGAATCTGAGATTGACCCTCCTCACTTGGAGAAGCAAGAATCTAGACTGAAGATGCTAGTCCATCCTAGCCACTCTTGGGAAAAGCAGCAAGTCAGTGTGCTGGCTTGAGATGGAAAAATAGATATGTGATCTCGAATAAAATATTATGTTAAAGACATATTTATAGAAGGAACCCTAAAATTATAATTAAAACATCTTGTAAACTTACATGTATCAGAGAGCTCACCAATGCTTCAATTTCCCTAGTTGTGAGTTGAGAGTAATGAATTGCCTCAAGCTAATTAATGCATGTGATATTGTTTGAAACAAAAACATTATGGAAAATACAGGTTATAACCTGTGGTATTTTTTCTTGTCTTTTTCTTTGTAGGAGGTGTCAGTGAAAAAAAAGGTCCAGAATGATTACTAACCTATGACTCCCAACAGTATGACAGGTATCTACTTTTTAAAATTTTCTTTGCATGTCTCCATTTTTGTGCCACCTAGAGAGAAATAGAGGGTTTCTAAAAGACCAACCTCAGAGTCTTAGCAACAATTATTTCCAGTATTACTAAATACAGATACACCCTGTGAATACATCCCGACAAATGAGCTTTCATCTTCTTCAGAAACAATGAGATGCCTCGTCACCAGAAACCTATGGTGAAGAAATGATAATTCACAGTAAAAGGCTAGTTTTTAGCTATCCTGAGATAACCCTTGCACACTAGACACGTTGACTCTTCACATTCACTTAGATCAATATAATAAATGGCTCTACACACTTAATGACTAGAGTCCAGGCACCTTCCTCCAAATGGGCTGTTATTCCATTTAGCAGTAGAGTCAGAACAGAATATGGTTAGATTGCAGCAGATAAACTAGCAAGGGACAAAGGAGACAGAATGACCCCCAAGGAAGATAAGGTTGCAATAGCATGAATTCTTTGTGCAACACAGAGAGCAGGGGTTGCAAACTCAAAGGCCCCAGGGGCCAGGCAGATAACACTAATGTCAGAAACAGGTTGGGTGTAAGGGAAAACACCAAACAAAACTGGAATACTCAGGTTCTCTCTGAAGAACAGCCATTCCCCCACTGTAGGTGATCACTGACAAGTAGGGATGAAGCCCAGAATGCCCAGAGATTTCAAATTTTCAAAAGAAGTTGGAAATCCAGATTTTAAATGAAATATTCCCCCTCACAAATATTAGCAACTAACTTATAAAAATGTCAAAGACTCATGGGCCCATCAAAATACATCTGCTGACTAGAATGAACCCAGGGGCCATCAGTTTACAATCTCTGCTACCTACCTTCCAGCATAGCACCAAGCCCCTCCCCATTCCTGTGGTTCCCGTGACAGCAGGGCAGACACCCATAGACCTCTGTGTGTCACGGGTACAGCTTGACCTTTGATAATCCATTCATGTCATGGCAGACTAAACATGCAGGACAATTCCTCCAAGAATCCATTCCCCCGTAGACCTGAGAAACTGAAGTGACATAAAGCTCCACTCAGCCTTCTGCAAGTTTGGAAGCCTCCCTAGGACCATACACTGCCTCTCTCAGCATCACTGCCCTGCCCTTCTACCCACCCACACTGGAACTCTCGGTGCAGCCCAAAAGATGGAGTGCCGGAACAAACCAGAATGATTCACACCAAGAAGTGAGGGCCTCAGAACCACATCTCATCATTTCCTCCTATTTTTACTCACGAACAGGCATCAAAACATACCCACCCCCTTTCTATTGCACTGCCAACCCAGCCAAAATCCTCTCCCACTTAAATCTCACCCATTCTATGTCATAAACCTGGTCGTTCTGTGGAAAATTGGTACAGATCAAGCTTAGCTAACTCCTTCATGTCTACCGATGAGTGGGCATCTCAGCCGGAAGGAATGAAGTCTAAGTCTCTGCAGATGCAGGCACGTGAGAGCACAGATTTCAGACAGCAGCAGGCCCCCTGCAAAACCTAGAGAAAGTGCCCCCCGCCCCGATACAGGATGGTGTGGGATCAAGTGCAACACAGGGGTGGCTTTATACTCTATGATCATCCACCCACTAGAAAAAGGCCTCCAAAGATACAATCTCAAAGAACATGCCCATCTGAGATGGACCAAAATGGCAAAGCTTGGTGTAAAAGTGGGTAACACCATTGGTTTCTCTTGCCCTGGGGTTGGTTCCAGATAGAGTGCAGAAGTGAGCATCCATCCCAGGTTCCTATAGCGCAGGGGTCAGCAATTTCTTTAAGGAGCCATAGAGTAAAATCTCTGGCATTGCCGACTACTCAGATCTGCCCCAGTGGCAGGAAAAGCCATGGACTGCACACAGACAAATGGGTTGCATGTGTTTTAACAAAACTTTATTTACAAAACAGGCAGCAGGCCAGCTTACGCCCAAGGACTGTAGTTTGTGGACCCCTGGTCTAGAGTCCAAGGTGTCCAGACCATCTTATTGTTGAGCAGAACCCCCAAGGCCAAGTCAGCTCATCTCCAGGACTGAGCTAAGAATCCAGGCTTAGTCCAGGACAATTCTAAAACGAGCCAGCTTTTCAGCTGATCTTTGTAGAAGCCAAGATCCTTCCTTGCATACTGAGCTGGAATTGCAGGTGCCTCCCAGTGGAGGAGGGAGTTTTTGCTTCCCAGCATTTGCTTCCTAGTGTAGAAACTAACAGTAGTTGGCTATTTGCAAAAGAAATCTCTTCCATACACACATAATGCTCAGTGCATGTTAATGGACTCAGCTGAGAAAATTATTACGTTAGACTCCCTTGTAGATGAAATAAAACAGTATCCTTTCCCTCTCTCTTTTGTTGTGATCTCAGGCTTTGTGTTTATTTTAAGAAACCTAAAGAGCTTCTTTATTATTGAAGACCATAATAAAGTTGTAAGCCATCAGAACTAAGTGCTTGCTTTAGGAGCGTGATTTAAAGGGCAAATATGCGTATTTTCTTCTTTGAAAAACATAATAGGTAATATTACTGTTATGCAATACCAGCTATCAATTAGCCTTTATGAAAATAAAACCATTCTTTAAATGAACAAGAACACTGAATCTATTTTCCTAAAAGCAAGCAGACCAGCATTTTCAGGTAAGAGCCACGTTGTTGGTATGCAGTCTCTTTCAGCCAGAATGCTTAATAAATTTGTATGTCTTGCATTAACTCAAACGGAAATTTAGTTATTTTTCTGGGGTTATTTAATATCAGCTATAATGGAGTCAGGTCTTGCCAAAATTTTCTTGTTGCTTTACTCTACCTAGTTTGAAATTAGGACTGTATGAAATCACTCATTGAAAAATACTGATTCTTAACGGAGAAAGAAAGTGCCTTAATATGGTATTTTATTAATCTGGAATTAAGCACTGCTTCCTAAGTAATCTGAGGGGAATTCTGCTAACATTTATGGCATTATAATGAGCTCGGTTTTGCATAAAACCATGATTCACTGCATAGGGGAGTTTGTTCCAAGATATGAATACCTAAAAGTTCAAATACGAAAGTTAGAGGCTTTTGGCCTTGGTGGAAAAGAAAACTAAGAACTCAGATTTCTCCACATGTGCCTGAAGAAGCAGAAACAAGGATCTGTTGCTTGCACTGAAACTGGCTTTATGAAATTAGGATATGACATGAAATTAGCACAGTATTTGATGTTACCATCCAGCTGGGCCCCCTGTCACTTAAAGTCAAAGTCTTATGAATTCTTCCATGTGAATAAAATATCCCCCATCCAGTTATTTAAACTGTCCCTCTTCTTCGTGGTCTGCTTGTCCACTTAACTTCCCTGTTGTGATGTCTGCCTTTTTCTTTTTCTTTCTCAAGCTATTACTATTGAGTGTATCACAGGCACCAGGAGAAGGGTATTAACAAGGATATGATCGCTTTCAGTTGTTGACCCAGGGTTTCCACTGTAGGATCGTCAGATGGCTTGCTTGTTTGGGGTCACTTGTTAAGCAAAAGGAAGAATTACATAAGTTTTTTAAAAATTTGCATTTCTCCAAAAAAGTACATTTCTCATTAATTATGAGGTTGAAATTTTTTTTACATGTGTACTGACCACTTGTGTTTCTTTATCTATCACTCACTTGTTCATATTTATTGTCCACCTGCTCATTGTGGATTTTATATTTTTCTCATTATGTAGAGAAGCAATTTATTACATATAAGCCATTTTGTATATTAAGGATAATAATTGAGCACATCACCTAATCTATGAATTCCTTACTTTTTTAACATTTTATGTATTTGAGAGAGAGAGAGAGAGAGCATGATTTGGGGGGTGGCAGAGGAAGAGGGAGAAGCAGACTCCTTGCTGAGCAAGGAGCCCGATGTGGGGCTCAGTCCCAGCACCCTAAGATCATGACCTTGGCCAAAGGCAGATGCTGAACCAACTGAGCCACCCAGCCACCCCACTATGAATTCCTTATTAAATGAGAAAAGGAGACCAGTTCATCTCTTGTTTTCCCTCAACTTTTACAATTAGATTATTACTTCACATTCAAACACGTATAAGTCACGTTTTCATAAAGTAGGGCATGGGTGCATTGATGGCTGGATGTCAAGAAAAAGGGACCCTGGAGCACCATGTTTTCTGTTTCTAAGACTATCCTAATGAACAATTTTTCGGAGTTAAACAAAACACTTAGGCTGGGAAAACACTATTTTATTATAAGCCCACATCACTCTTCAGAGGTGGCTCTCCAAGTGTTCATTAGGATTTCCAGATGCTCCTTATACCTTTTTATTCCTTCAGAAAGAGAAGCACAGTTGCATTTAGGTCCTATGACCTAAGTAGCTCATCTTTTCATGGATCAGGAGGTTGTTGAGAGCAAAATAATGACACCATTCAAAGACAACTAATGAACAGTGTATATGTTATGAACATTTCCCATTGTCAATACAGTAAGCTCTATTGCAGGGTCTCTATATGATTTATGTCTTTGTTGTCAAGCTTAGAAATGTCTTCTGGTGAGTACTGATGGGTAAAGCTCAATGGGTTCTTTGTGATGAGTCAGCATTTCTATTCCAACATGTAGTTCTTTTTTTTTAGTTTAAATTCAATTAATTAACATATAATGGATTATTCGTTTCAGAGGTAGAGGTCAATGATTCATCAGTCTTATATAATACCCAGTGCTCATTATATCACATGCCCTCTGTAATGTCCCTCACTCAGTTACACCGTACCCCCACCCTCCAGCAATCCTCAGTTTGTTTCCTATGCTTAAGAGTTTCTTATGACTTGTCTCCCTCTCTGATTTTGTCTTGTTTTACTTATTCCTCTCTCCCTCTCTGCTCCTCTGTTTTGTTTCTTGAATTCTACATATGAGTGAGATCATATGATAATTGTCTTTCTCTTGACTTATTTTACTTAGCATAATACCCTCTAGTTCCATCCACGTCATTGCGAATGGAAGATTTCATTTTTTGATGACTGAGTAGTATTCCATTCTGTAT